AGTAATAGATAGTTCAACTTTCACAGAATCACCAGGAACAAATCCCATGGCTACCGTCTTGATGCTAGGAAGATATCAAGGTATTAAATTACTCAAAGAAAGGGAAAATTGTCTCCCAATTTATTGAAACTCAATGAATCTTCCATCAATAAAACTAGGGTTGGTTGAGATTCTATTCAATAAAAATGAAGAATTTGTGATGAAATTTAATCAAATTAACCTAAAATGCTATGTGTATTATTTTAGTTAACTAATTGTTAAATTTAAAGTTTAATTTTTATTTTTTATGTAATTTAATAGTTAAAAAGTGCATTAATTATATTTTTATATAAAAATAACATAATTATGAGGTGATGTAAGGATAACATTTTTTACTATATTTGTATATAATTTTTATATATTATTAAATAGGTAGATTCAATCAATGTTGCTGCTTTTAAATAAATAATAACTTAAGGAATGAAGGAAGGAAGGAGGCAATGGCGATAGAGATGATTGATTGAGATGAAGAAGGGGTGAAAAATAGTAGGGGGTTAGGGATTAAGAGAAATGTCCTCATTGGAACCCCCCAATGTGATGGTTTAATGGTTAAAAATTTAAAACTCTAAGTTGAAATCTCAAGTTCGCACCTTAAGTCGGGTGAGGAGGAATTTGAAAATAAAAGATGATTATCCCTTTTATATAACTTGTTATAAGATGTTCAAAAAAAAAAATGAAAAATGAAAAAATGTCCACATTGGAGGCTAGGTCTCCAATTTTATTTCGAGTTGGAACTGATACATTTTTTTTTTTTTAGAGAAATGACTTTGGGATAATTTTTTATAATATTTTTTGAGATAATTTTTTAATATTATTTTTTGATATAACTTGACGTGTCATTTAAATGATTGATTTTTTTCATGTAAGATCCGTGATATTGAATGCATTTACTCATTTAATAACATATGAAAATTGTATAAAAAATTAATTTAAAAAATTGTCAGTTATAGCATTGCTCCTTTCTTTTATTATATATATTTATTTCTTAAATTATTATATATATCTATTAATTTAATATGATTGACACCGTGACACCGTCGTAATGATCGGTTACGCGCCTAGAAAAACCCTGTACTAAACTTGTTCTTTCCTATAAAAAACGGTTCATGTTTCATCTGCCAAAGCCCTAACCCAAATCACAATGATTACCGGCGATCTAATATTCGACATTCTGGTGAGATTACCTGGGAAGCCGCTTCTCAGATTCAGATGCGTCTCAAAATCATGGCGTAAAATCATTACCGATCCTTCTTTC